TTTTTAGAAATATAGGGTGACCTTTGAGTACTAAACTTTTTTGCTATCAAATGTTTCTTTAAAACAGTGTGAGCTACCCTCAAAATGATGTCTATCAAATTTACTATGTGTCTTAAAGACAATAAAACATAATCAGTGATAATTTGAGGAATTTTAGCTAATTTACATTGGTTGTTGTATGTCCTTGTTGACAAGGACGGTACCCATTTTTGATGCCCATTATATAATTTTTGTTAATTGAAATCCACCTGTTCATATGTGTATAAAACAGACATTGGTTGCCGTAAATTTCACATATTTCAGTTAATATATTTTTGGGAAATTAACAAGTTTTACAGCAGCTTCAATGACGCGTTCAATTTTACTCTATGAATTTGACCATTCATTTTTAATGCAGTGTCTCGAATAGCCTTTGTTTTCCAGCTTCCCACAATGAAATGATGCTATGAAAAGTGGTCACATAAACTGTTATCAATTCATTAAAGATTCAATAATGAGAGAAAGACAAGCTTAATGTCATATGATTTCTATGTTGTATGTCATCGAGCTAATGACATTATCTATTGAACATCCCTCGTAGTCTTCGTTTCTTCATAACCCGTGGGGATCCAAAGGTCCTAACCCCTTGCTTGTTAAAATTTAATATAAGGCCCCGTGTCATAGCAGGTGTGGCACAAAGATTCCCTGCTCAATGGCCCTGAACATAGGCCTAAATTTGCAGCCCTTCACCGGCAATGGTGACGTCTCCATATTGAAATTTCTGGAGAGGGACGTTATATATTTTCGTTTCTTCATCAAATAAATTAAAATTTGTAACGATTATTTTGAACCCAAATATTACCTGCCCAATTGTTATTATTTTTCTCAGAATAAATAAAACGATTTATCAATTTTAGATGTATAAAAAATCATAGAATTCTCGTGATCATGATCCCTATTGGTTTAACTGTAGAATTTTGGTATGTTTGAAAAGAACCAAATATCTCACAATAAATGATATTCAATGCAAAATGGTTATAAAAAACATTAATTTCATCAATCTTTTCTCTAATCCTTCTATTGTTTTCCAAAATTTTCAAATTACGTGGAAATATTGATTTTATCAGTGGATTAGAAGAAGTAGATTTTCCTATTCAATACCCTCCCTAAATCATATTGTTTAGGTTTTTAAAAGTACAGCTAAATTGTTTAATATCCCAGCTATTTCGATCGAAAATTTGTAAAATGGTGTACTTGAATATTTTTCTTTTTAAAGAGACACCATTATACCTGAATGGATACAAAGATGTATTTTTTCAATTTCAATGGTTCCAAATAAAACCGAATTTCGACAGAACGTGAAAAAATAACGAGGTAAAAGTACATCAATTTAGTATAAAAGTAATTTAAAAATATATAGGAATATAGGAATTTTATCTTTACAGTTCTATATAATTATATGAGATAAGGAATCACCGTAATTTACCAATAAACTAATTGGTGACTCATTTCTGTTTTGCAATTTTTGTTTGTTTGCATTTTTTTTTTTTTTGCATTGAACGTCATACCTTATCTATTCTTTGAATACTTTTGTACGCAAATCAAATTCCCAATCGAATTCAAAAGTCAAACTAACTACGAAACAAAAGTATATTTACCACTTGAAATAAACCCTTTATGCTTTGAAGGCAAAGTTGTGGAATCTGTTTTGTGGTTCTGAGGGATATGTTGATTATTTATTGCATGAACGTAACGAAAAAAAAAGCTATTTGAGAAATTTATGAACCCTGTAAAAGTACACAATATTTTATTTTCTTGTCAGTAGCATGGAATTTTATGTTTATTCCCCTCCAAAGTAGCTCACAATTTATTTTGATCCAGATGATCTTCAGAGCAGAATTGTTCTAGAGAAAGGGATTTTAAATAAGTAAGTAAGTAAGTAAGTAAATTGTTTACTATAGTGACATGTGTAATACAGTACAATGAAAAACATTTAATACAATATATATCCAAACAGCCGGCCAATCGGACCTATATTTCACTTTTAACAAAATATATGAAAAATATTTACACAAATATTACGCATGGTGGTTTTTGTACAACAGAGATTGCCTGTGCATGTATGAAAGGTATAAATATTTTGAGGTCTGCCTAGGAAAATTTGTTAAAAGAAAATTTACATTCTCTTGATATGACATAGAAAATGTTGGGTTACATCTAATACTAGTAAATAAATCTGATCTGAATATTCCGTACAATTTAATAAAAGTGGTACTCGTCTTCTACTTCATCTTTACAACAAAAATTACATACCTATCTTCTAATGATCTATGAAGATTTTAATAGAGGCGTTTTTCATACAGAGCCTAAGCTAATTTTCCTTTTATCGTCCTTGTATTTTTCGTTTGAATATTGAATTTTGTTCTTTAAATTTATTTAAGGGCCTACATTCTAACTGAAAGGACTTCATAAGATCTATACTAATTCTTACGTCCATGTTGGCTATAATAAGCGGGATAAATCTAATTTTTTTTAAATGCTTTTGTCTCGTGTCCCGATTATTTTGTTTCAATTTAATTTTTATACCCCCCGCTTGAAAAGTGGGAGGGTATACTGTAATCGGTATGTCCATCCGTCTGTCTGTGTGTTACGCTTTCACCTCCTATTTTACTTTTTGATCCGACACATATTTTGGGTTTCCCGGCCACAGCAAAACATGGACTTTTCCATTATAATCATATTGCTCACAGTACCTCTAGTTGCGATCTGGATTCTGAAAAGAAAAGAAATTGATAGGACTAGAAAGCAGAGAATTCATAAGTTATTTAGAACTTGTTTCCAATCCTTTTGATTGATATCAAACTATGTTCAAAACAAAGCAAAGTATTTCAATTTAATAAAATTTGGTTCTTAATTAACTAATTAATGCTTGTAAATGAGGAGCTTTACAAAATACAAAGAGTAGTTTGAATTTTCTTCTTCGTTTTGGTTGAAAATACAAAATCCGTAAAATAACGTAATACCAATCTCTACCCAGAGTTATCGTTCCCTTCGCTACAACACCTCTGTCAACGTCTAAATGCCAAGATTCTTGGCAAAACTTACTTTTACCTATTGCATCATAAATTATCAATGTAAAACTTTTATACTCTTGCTTGGATTCTAACATGTGAATTGTAAGTTTATTTATGAGAATTATAATCAGATATAACTTTTTCGCCATATCTTATAGGGGGTTATTTCTCGGCAGGATATTACGAACGTGGAAAATATAAAACGCATTGCCGATAAATATCAACATGGTTTAGTTTTTATAGACAGACAACTTGCAGCTTTGACACATATATAGAAATGTAAAGGTGTTTATCTTCTTGTGGGCAATTTTAAACAACATTTGAAAAAAAAATCACGTCCCTCCGCTTCCGTACTACTTTTTAGACGTTGACAGAGGTATAAGTGGAACGATTACTCAGGGTAGAGATTGACATAATACTGGAAACGTATTTTTTCTGTCATGTTCAAAATTTTTATCCCCTCGCAACGGAGTTGGAGGGGGTATTATAACGCGCCTGTGTATGTGTGTGTGTGGAGGGGGGGGGGTAGTAGTCCTTTGTGCGAAAAGGAAGTGACGTAGTTTGTATCTGGATCAATGACGATATTTATAGATATGCTCTTGAGGGGATAACCCAGTTTGCAGTGCTCTTGTTTCTTTAACTGTTCACTTTATAGATATACAATTTTTAAATCCCGTTTAATTGACATTATTGAAAATTCATTTTAATTTGATATTGAAATATTGTGAGAGAAAAAAATGCCTTTTTGTGATTATTTTCTTGACAGATTGTACTCTTAATCTTCTTTTTAAGGATGTACATGTATTCTTCTGATATTGTACCCGGAAAAAAAAACGTGCATTAAACTTTCCACGTGCTTATATTTTTCTGAAAGTGTAATATCCAAGGAATAATTTAAAGACAAGAAAAGTGTATGTTAGTGTTCATCTTAGAGAGATTCAACCCCTCCAACATAGGCCAAAATAAAGATTGGGAAATTTCATTAAAATAGCTATTAGATCATAAAAATACCTCATAGACTTAAAAATACATTCAATTTAAACCTAATTTGGCTTATATTTACTTTAAAGTATTGCAAAGTTATTTTTTTAAGCAAAATATGAGCAAATAAACACCAATTACATAACTTTTACCCAAAAATGTTGTTCATCGGTGTCAAATTTAGGCAAATTTTTCCCCATAAATTGCTCAACAAACCAGAGAAAAACATATTTCTACAATTAAACTGTTTGAGAAAATTGTTGTACAGTTTCTTTAGGCATTATGATTCCTTTTCATAGTATGAAAAGTAGGGGATAGTGTACATATAAGAAAGTTTTGATATTTTTTATATCCCCACTCCCTATTTCTTTTTCAGCATTTAATGAAAATAAATCAAGACATTTAGGCTTCAAAGTAATGTGTTTTATTCACCAAATATTCAAAATTAGTGTGATAATTTCAGGTAATAATTGCAATTTTGTTAAGAAAAGCTTTTTATGAACAAAAAATAAGTATTTAACACATAAAACTTCATAGTAGTTTGTTAGATGTCCTCTCTTTCTCTTGCCCTGCGGGTTCTGGATTGGGTTCTGGTTTGTGGTGTTGGATGGTGGCTTTCCTGCGATTAGTCAAATCCAGTCCCAATTGCTCAATCTGATTTGCTTGGTTTTCTCCATCCAGTTTTAGTGGTTCTAAACACCTGCTCTCTTCAAAAGTTCTGCATGTTTGATTGTTGTGACAACAAGACTTACCTTAAAAAATATTTTAGAAAAAAAATTGATTATAACTAATAGGAATTTCATTGTTCAAAAAATGTAAAATCATTATTTTGTCTATCTGACTTTATTTTTATGAACCCAAGCCTGTAGTTTAAAATCACTGAATCAAATAATTTCTACATGTTCTATGATGTTTCAGAAATATTCCATTTTTTAACCCGCATAGGCCGCCATAGACCTGGAAAAGGTACACAGAATTCCCCGTTTGTACATTTGACGCCATTTTCACTGCATCCAAACATGTCACAATAGGCGCGGATACCCGACAGTGAGTTGTTTGAGTTTGCGATGTGACAGTGTACTAGGTATTTTGAAACTTTTGTATCTATAATGCATAAACATTGCTATTTTCAATAAGTTTGAAAGCACTGGAAACCTACATTTTCGCTTTTCCACCGTTACTTGAACGTCGTCAACACACTTCGGCGCTCTTGGCTAGCATGGTTGGGGCGCCGCTTTCGAGAATGTACATCACTACATGGCCTGGTTGCGATATCGGCGATTATTTAAATGTTTTAAAATTTCTGTCGGTTGGCTCTTTTAACGAAGTGCCATTCGGCATTCCTGTCGCTTTGAAAGGGGCGATCCCGTCTTCTTCCCCTCTGGACCATGTCGATTTCACTTGTCGGCTTTCTTACGCCTGTGTCGTAAATATCGTAATTTTGCACACGTCTTGGTCATCAATACAGCATAGAAACATTTTTTATTTAAAGATAAATATAGTTTAACATGTAAATCATAAAAACTTGAAAAACTTTGTAAATTGTTATCAGTTTGAAGTTTACGACTTGTTTAAGTACAAAGACCCACTTGGGGTAAAATGATCAGAAGAATTCACCCTTAAACCAAATATTTCTTCAGGCAGCAGACTCTGATAAGTCTCTTCATTTTTTCACATTTCTTGTGGATGCAGGGGTAAAATTGGGGAACAAGTACAAGTATGTAAATTTATAAAGTACATGCATGTGTATGGAGGTACTTGATTGATTCTTTGATTTCTGTCCTGTTTGAAATTAAAATTAATAGCACGGTATATCATGAAATGCGATAAGTATATTCTCCTGTCCTAGTATCGTTTTCCGAATGTCAAAAGGTTCGCCCAGTTTGTTTCAAAACGCAACAGGCTTTCTGGCTTTTATTTTTAACCTCTTCAAAAATTAATAAATATTGTTTTTGCTATACCAATAGGTCATTTCTTTTTATAACATATGACAATTTTTCTTTCAGAACCATGAGGAAGTTCGTCAACCGGTGCTTTTCTTCTCTTGTTCTTCTTTGTCTTCCGTCGTTACTAGTGAGCATCCAAAGTAGAAAACCAAACTGTACGTTTCCGGATTTTCTGGAAAGGGATAAGCTATGGCGCAGTGGAACGGAACTTCACGATTCCGAAACTATGTACTTTAATGGAGATTATATCGATATAAGGCAAAATGACCTACGCTTTGAAAAGAGATGTCATGAGATGATTAACCGTGAAAAAGGGATTTACCTAGTGGCCCACCTTCCTAAACAAGATGGTATAAATGTTCGGACTTCATATTCTTGTATTCAGTTTCTTAAAAGATCGGACTCGGTAGTTCAGATAAGAGAATCTAACCCATCGGAATTTACGCTTTCAATTTGTAATGAGCAAAACATGATACTGAAAAATCGTCCCATTATCAAGTTTCCTTTAGAGGACAACCCGTCTATAAAATGTCCTTTTTCTGGAGGATATAATTTAAAGATCACTTACAAGATGGAATTAAAGTGTGGATTTTCTGTTATTCGTCCTCGAATGGAAAGCGAATGCGAGGATGGCGACGGGGTGACTCTGGATTTTAGAATAAGTGAGTGTAAGTTGGATGATGTTCACGGACTGAAAGAGAAACTAAGATGTTTGGCATCATGGACTGATAAATCAGCGGAAAATAATTACACCTTTGTGGTTTTAGCAAATGATCAAAGGTTCCCATTGTGTATGAGATTTGAAGGAAATTTGTCGGATTTGAAAAGAGCCACCATTTTCCGTGACGGTAAATGTGTTGTCAATGACAGAGATAGCTACTCGCAGACGATAGAAAGGGTGAATTTAGAGTTCGAAAAGATGGTAGTTTCAAATCTCTGCGAAAACGAGTTTGACTATTGCGCACAAGAATTTGCTTGCCCCAGGTATCAGAAATATTGTCACAAGTCATGTCGAGGCTGCCAACCTGAAACAAACGTCTGTTCGTTTCCAGAGGATTTGAAAGGGGCTTGGCACACCGATTTGAAATCAAAGCCAATTGTCATGAATATTTCTACATATAACTTGCATTTGCCAGGTGATGGTAATTTCAAGTGCGTTGGGAGAGCCAACTCCACAAAAGAAAGTGTCTACAGGTTAGCTTTGCTCCATATTTTTGAAAATGGTTGTTTTCCTAGAATGACATGTTTTGAATATGAAAAGACATCGAAAATGACGCTACAGTACAAATTTGGAACTAGAGTTGAATGGCCACAGTTTCCGTTGGATAAGATGATCCATAGAACTTGCTTGAACAACCAGTTGAGGAAGCCATTTTCAGTGGCGGTAAATGGAGCCCAAATCTATACCACCAGTTGCAACCTGCCCAGTGACTTCGGATTCAAGTCTGGTCATATCTATCTTCGGGATTCTAATTCCAGGGATTACTGCATTGCATACTACGAATATGGTTTAAGTGGCAAATTCAATATGGTGGATATAAACAAAACAGAACCAGTGAACAAGGAACACATGTGTCTGTCTTCTGAACAATTCAAAGATGGCAGCATTCTAGTTGTGACGGCATCGTTTTCTGATCGTTCTTACAACTGTTGGGCATTCATGGGAAAGGGACACAAGCGGAGAATAATTCAACTCAGTCTTGAGGACTGTAACGAAGGCAGTCTTAATTCACTAATTGATGGTAAATATACACCTATTAATTCATTCATTGTGTTAGAAGAACCTAAGAATGTATGTACCTTAATGATTGACATTGCGACAGAACCCGGACCATATCGCACTCCTTCGGTTTCAAACTCGCCTTCGCCCTCAAAGCAGACGACACCACCCATCTACAGGACGCCATCGCAGCCCGGGTCAATTTTAGCAAATGATCCCGACAGTGGTTCCGGGGCACATTCTGGCACACTTCTTTTGTTGCTGTCCTCTTTTGTTTTTTGTACGTGTCTTTGATTTGTATAATTATATGCTAAAATTGCTCAAATGCTGGAGACCAAAGTTAAAGGCACCATTATTGTCAAAAGACTGAAAAAAAATGTCTTAAAAGAAAAGATGATTTTCAATTGAAAGGTCTTGAATTATTACAATAATTCCCCTAGAAAAGTAAGAAGCCAGAGTGATTGTTAAAAGAAGGATTACAGCCACCATGCATGTCAGATAGAATAATCTTAAGTTGAGTTTGGTTTAAGAAAGTTTCGGACTAAAGTGCGCAGGCGCAGAGAGGAAAAATGGCTTTGCAATATCGAACCCTGCGACTAATTATATCAGTTTGTTTACACTTCTATATAGTTTATGGGGGAGTAAAAAAGTAATTGCCTGTGATATACTGTACAAAAGGATATTGATATGTATTTTAAAGAAGAGCTGAGTTTTATGCTTGGCGTAAAAAAGGCCATGTACTATTGTGTATACAGTGACAATGCCTTTATTCTATTGCATGCACAGAGCTACATTAAAGTCGAGGAACAAATAAGAGCTGGGCTGTTCGGACGATTCAGAGAATCGTACCTAAAAATAAAAATTTGCCTTTTATTATTGCTTTTTCTGTGGATCTTTAAGAAAGCCATTTTAAACTTTAAGTAGACTTGTTCATATATCATTTTTAGTTTGGTTTTTTTTGAGGCGCATCGTTTTCGATGCAGCCTCATTGCGATCACCTAGCATTTCTTTCTTGTTCACAGCGGCGGCAAAGGACTCAATAATATTGATTCTTAACACGCTATTGAAAATAGTGCCAATGTATATTGACAAGTTGGCGATATCCATAATCTAATTTTAAACAGCAAATAACATAAAATCACACACATAAATGTTGTTTTTACTTTGAATCAATAAAGGTTAAGAAAAACAAACAATTAAAAACAAAGAGAGAAAACATCAACAAACGAAGGAGCTTATCTGCACGTGCACTGCGCGGAGAAAGATCTATTTGCATAAGAACATCGTACTATAAATTATTCGGTTTTGTAAGGTGCAATTATTTGTATTCCTATCAGGAAGCATCACTAACATAATTTTTAAAAAATGTATCACTAGCAATTGAGACATAGAAACAGAATCGTTGTTTTTTTTTTTTAAATAAAGGGGATGTTATTATTTTTTTACTCGAGTAAACGAATAGTAAGATGTACAGCTGAATAAATTCTTGCACAAGCGCCACCTATCGGGAAAATATTTCCACGAGGTCACAAACAGCGATATGATCGGATATTGGTGAAATGTCAGTTAAATGTGGTGATTGACTAATAAATACTGCAATTACTGTGAATTTCAATTTATAGTGTTTCTAATACCTTATAAACATAGACTTTTTAAAAGTTCAATCCTAACCGCTAAGGTTTCATAGCTAAAATCATATCGAAAATATTGGAGGGAATCGCCGCAATTGAGGGGTTCATAATAAACCGTGTACCAAGCCGGATTGTTTTTATTTAGTCCTGTATTATTTTTATGACCATTTCATGTTTATAACTATTGTGCCATTTTGATTGAGAAAAAGAAGTTAAAAACAAAGTTTTGATATTTATAAAAGTGCACATAATGAAAGAAACTGAAATAATTCAGATATGAAATTATGTAGAATTATTCAATAATCATAACTTCACAGTTATTTCTATAATGTCATTCATTATTTCATCTCCGATTCCTACTATGCTAATAGTCAAAGAATAAAATTAAAAAAAAATTAAAATATGATTAAAATCAATAATGAATTAATTAAATATCAATTAATCATAATTGATATAACAGACTATTTTTTTTTCACCCTCCTGATCGACTGGCTAAAAATGCCATGGCTCAATTGTTCGAACCTCAAAGAAACCTTACTTAATTTTTTTTTATCCTTATAACTGGTTTATTTCATTCCCTTAACATTTACGTTGAATTTTTCTAAGAAGAAAAAGTTTTATACCCTCACTGCGATGCGCCTCTCAGGCCATCAGGCCTTTGATTCTATTCTATACATTCCACTGACAAAATAACAGCGTAAACATAAAACCGCTTAAGGGAAAAGTAAAACGTGCGCAGTTCGGGGGGGGGAGGGAGGGGGGGGGGGAGAGAGTTGGATCCCCCTCACTGAATTTGTAGAATTATTAAATGTATACATGCATGTATACTGAAGCATATAAAATATACCATTATGGATATAAAGATTTAATTGCTTATTCTTTATTATGTGTATAGAAGATTCTTTTTATATGGAATATTTATCACGCTGTAATGATGATTTTATGAGTTTGTACAAGCCAGAACTCGTAAATTTTTCATTTCGCGTGCTGAATACTATTATTTAGTAAAAAAAAAAAAAGTATTTAAAAAAAAAAGTTGTTTGTCCGGGACTTGAACTTGGGACCTCTCACATTGGAAGCGAGAAACATACCGCTAGACCACGGAATCGCTTTAAGTGAAGTCAAGTATATGCAGAAGTGAAGTCACATACATGTATATATTCATGTTCGGTATTGTCAAAATTTTACACAATCCATGGTGTTTGATTTATTTAGCCTGTATTAAACAGTTCTAATAGATGTAATAAGAACATAAAGTCCGCCGAGAACCTGCTTTATACGCAATAACTCTCCTCATGTCCCTGTGCTAAAAATAGCGACATGTAATACTATAAATACTTATAAAACAAACGGGGCGGGGCACTTTGAGAGGGGTGAGAGAGGTCCTAGGGAGTTTTTGTATAAAATTTCATTGAATAAGCTCAAAATCTTCTTGAAATATCGCCCGGAAATGATAGTGTCACACACAGACAGAATGTGTAAATTTACGACCTTGAACTTTGACCTTTTGACCTCAAAATCAATAGGGTTCTTTATTAGGCCACAGGGAGTTGTTATGTAAAATTTCATTGCAATAGCTCAAATGGTTCTAGAGATATCGTGTGGAAACGAAAGTATTATAACAGACAGAATTTGCTTATTTATGACCTTGACCTTTGACCTTTTGATCTCAAAATTAATAGGGTTCTTCTTTAGTCCATAGGGAGTTGCTATGCTAAATTTCATTGCAAAAGCTCAAAGGATTCTCGAGATATCGTGTGGAAACGAAATCGTTACAGACAGACAGAAAGACGGACGGACGGACAAACCCAAATTAATATCCCCCACTTTTCAAGCGTGGGACAATTAGACAACTAATTACATGTATATGATGAAGTTCAAAAGTTTAACTGAATCTAGAATCGTTACCAAACGATCACCAAGACAAACTAAAAATCGATTGTCAATTCCGGTCTCGGGAAAGGGGGGGGAGGGTGTCTAATTCAGCTTCTTGCAAAACTCCATCTAAAACGAAACCATGTTTCAAAGTCATACGACCAGGAACAAGTTTTCAACACTCTTTTCCCAAAGACAGAAGGCTGGGATATAGTTGGATAAACGTCGATTCAAACTTATGAAGAGTAATTGTATATTTCATGGAACGTGCTTGCTGGGCATGGGATCATCATCTAATGTCGATAATTTTCACTCAATTATTGATGTGAAATGTTACACCTAATACAGTGTTTGAAGCATCAAGCCTTCACCGTGCATCCTGTTTTATTCCTAAGTCCCAGAGCCGTTGGAATAAGAGATGAGATGGGTGATATTTTTAAGATTAAGGTGACAGAATATTAAGAGAGAAGAGTGTGTAAGAGATCGGTCTATAAAATGAAATATTTAATGGTGTTTGAGGACTGCCGTTTGTTAAATTATTATGTTTAACTGCATAACAAATGCATAAGGAAAGCTTTCGTAAAATATACATTTTTTTCAATATTACGAGGGACGTTCAATACATTATGTCATTGGGACTCGGAAAGAAACAAAAAAACGCTTTTATATGATTTCGTCTTAATGATTCAACTAAAATATTCTCTTTTAATTAAAACACATATCCGTAACATTTTAATTCAATTTCTAATTGATTTTGGAATACATTTTTGAGTATGACGCTTCGTATACTAAAATATGGCACATCCTATGATTTGCTGTACTTGTTTTTTCTTTCTGAAAGGTGTTTTCTAAGTTTGGGAAATGAAACAAGTCAGAGGTTGAAAGATCTGGCAAATATTGTTGATGTGACAAAACATTAACTTTCTGTTTACCCCCAAAACTCCTTTACTCTTCATGGCCTGTGGGTTTGGACGTTGTCACGAAGAAATTTAATGTAGTGAATTCCTCATTCTGTTTCCTTCCTCTCATAAACCTTTGAATTTTTTTTGCAAATATTTTGCGTACTAGACTCCTCCAGAAATTATACTGCTTCCCCAAATATGAATTTGAACAACAAGACCGCAAATATTTAAGAAAATAGCGTATAAAACTGTTTTTGTGTTCTTGCAAATCTTTGCTCTTCTTAGGCCTTTGTAGTTTTTTCAAGTGCATCTTATTGTTAATTTGTTTTGAGGGTTTAAAACAAAATGGATTCAAGTTGCATGATCTGTTTGAATTTCAGACAAACGTGGATAAGTACAATTTTTGATTTAAAAAAAAACAATAATTATTTAGATATTCCTACACGCTGTCGTTTTCACTCATTTTTAAAAATATAGGGTGACCTTTGAGTATTAAACTTTTTTACTATCAAATGTTTCTTTAAAAAAGTGTGCATTACCCCCAAAATGATGTCTATCAATTTTGCTATGTGTCTTAAAGTCAATAAAACAAAATCAGTGATAGTTTGTTAAATTTTCGCTAATATACATTGGTTGTTGTATGTCCTTGTTGACAAGGACGGTACCCATTTTTGATGCCCATTATATAATTTTTGTTAATTAAAATCCACCTGTTCAATCGTGTATAAAACAGACATTGGTTGTATATTTCACATATTTCAGTCAATATATTTTTTGGAAATTAACATGTTTTACAGCAGCTTCAATGACGCGTTCAATTTACTCTAGTTTACTGATTTTTGACTAATCATTTTTAATGTAATGTCTCGAATAGCCCTTGTTTTCCAGTTTACAACAATGAAATTATGCAATGAAAAGTGGTCACATAAATTGTTATCAATTCATTAAAGATTCAATAATGCGAGAAAGCCAAGCTCAATGTCATATGACTTCTATGTTGTATGTCATCCAGCTAATGACATTATTTATTGAACATCCCTCGTAGTCTTCGTTTCTTCATCAAATAACTTAAAATTTGTAACGATTATTTTGAACCCAAATATTACTTGCCCAATTGTTATTATTTTTCTTTGAATAGATTAAACGATTTTTCAAATTTTAAATTTATAAAAAAAAAATCATAGAATTCACGTGATCATAAAACCCCATTGGTTTAACTGTAGAATTTTGGTATGTTTGAAAAGAGCCAAATATCTCACAATAAATGATATTCAATGCAAAATGGTCATAAAAAACATTAATTTCATCAATCTTTTCGCTAATCCTCCTATTGTTTTCCAACATTTTCAAATTACGTGGAAATAGTGATTATATCAGTGGATTAGAAGAAGTAGATTTTCCTATTCAATACCCTTCCTGAATCATATTGTTTAGGTTTTAAAAAGTACAGCTAAATTGTTTGATA